GGAGTCAGGTGGAGATCTGAGAAAGCAGACTAGATGGAAGGGTAGGAAGACACGAGGTACCAAGTGCTTTCTGATAGAAAGCAGCAGTCACTGATCAGCAGAAAACCTCTGACATGATAACAAAAGCAACCGCGTCTCCCAAGAACAACTTCTATGGAGTCAGAGCAGCCAGGGCTCAGCTGCACAGTGGGAAAGCAGATGAGTAAGCAGGAGAGCTGAGCTCCAGCATGAAACCACAACTAACAGGACACCTTGTGTGCACTGACCCGGAGCCCTCAGGGTCCTGGCACCCAAGGCTTTGATAGCTGCCAAAAACTCATTTCAGGTCCTTCCACATATACGATCACTAAAACCAGAGCTCTTCCCCATAGCTGCCCAGTGGAGGGACTACAGCATGGTCCACACTTAACCTTTCAGCCCCAAGAAGCACCTCTAGCCAGCAGACAGCTTGCTGCCAGCCAGGAGCACCAGCACTTGTGTCGCTCCTTTTGCCCTGGGCTCTTGGCACAGGCCACTTTGGTACAACCTGTAATTCACAGCACAGGGATCCCCACCAAGCTACTGGCTGCTTTCCTATGCTAGAGGGGATGCAGTTGCTCCCCAACAACCCTCATCACTGCTACAGCTCTTGATTCACTGCTTGGGTAAACCTTGATGGAGGAGTAAGCTTATTGTGATTTAGCTTTGGGCTCAGAGAACCAGAGAAGTGGCCACCAATGACAGATAAAAGAGCAAAAGATGGTATTAGTGTGATCGTGCATGGGTACAGCACCTCCAAGTGTCACATCCCACCTTGGCTACAGTCCAAATAGGGCTCAGCATCCCTGCCTGCCACCACCATGCATCCTGTTCGGCTTCCGTTTCAGGATCAGGGCCTCATCCCAGTTAACTACTGACTTGTACTGGGGGCAGTTTCCCTGTAAGATGCCCTCTCCAGCCACCTGGCAGATGCAGAAGCTGGCCAAGCACTGTTATAAGCCGAGAAATTTACAAGCCCTCTGGCAAACAGTGTTCTCCCATTACATAACTCAAAGCTCAGTCAGATTGACTGCTTCTGAGACCGAAAATGGCAATATAGCATCCTCCATTCTGTCCATTCCTGGACACAGAGTGGATGTGCTCCCAACCCACAGCAGTCCCTCTTATGCATCTCTACCTTCATTTTTGCAGTAACCCCCTGACTTCTGGAGAGGTGACTCGCTGGGTATTGGCACTGGTGACATCTGGCAGCACCCTCTTCAGAGCCACATCATCACACCAAAATGTTTCATTCATAGTCAGGGACCTGCTGGGAGAGAGGGGGATGTTTGAGGCTGAAAAACAGCAACAAACATCACAAACCCAACAAAGGGAGAAGTTTCTGGTGAAGAGAAATGAAGTTTTCCTGCAGTGCTGGGAGGAAACAGGAACAAGAACTTCCTGCCTCCTGGAAAACCTCCCTGCAAAGGCAGGGATCTGCCTGGGCTCCTTCTTGGCAGTGATAACTCAGCAATAACAATCCTGAGCAGGCTCAGGGTGGAGCCTTTGCTTTATGACACCACAGACCTCTTTAGCAATATTTCTCTGAGAACCTTTTTGTTCCTGGAATGGTTTTTAAGCAAATAGATTTCAGGTTTATTAGACAAATAACTATCACCCACCACGGTTCCTTCCCTTCTCCTGCAAGTTCCTCTCTTGCAGATGCCAGAGCAGAGTCATCCTTTTTCCAGCACAGCCTGGGAGGGGGAGGAAATCAATCCAAACAATTAAAAGAGAATATAATAGAAATCCCAGGACAGGGCTACCCTCCTGTAATGCAATTAGGTCCCAGGAACTTGGAACTTCACCCAATAAATTTTACCTGGGATTAAGGTGAAGATAAATAGCCCAAATAAATACATGACTTCCCTAAAGCACTAGTGTTTGTAGGTTTATTTTTCCATTTCTCTTTCTCTGCAAAGAAATCAATATGTACATAGGAAAAAAAAAACCCACACAAATTTGGCAGAGAGCTCTGTGCAACAGGCCCTGGTGAGGCCAGTGTCCCCTGCAGTGCTGGGAACCAAACAAGGGTGGTTTTGCAAACACAATGGAGTTCTGCTCGTCTCACTGCATCCAAACCACAGCCCAGATCCAAACCCTCACCGACTCCAGAGTCTGCTCATGGTATGTGGGGAGAAGGGGAACTCTACAAGCTCCAAAAGCAAAGTGATACCAATTTTGGAGCCTTTGCAACTTGTCAAGGTGGGTCTTAGGGACAGCTCTACTGCATCCATCGCTCCCATCACCAGATCAGGCACTGGGCTGGGGACCCCGGCATGAAGAGGCTCCCTGCATTTAAACAGCAAAACTTCATGCGGAAAGGAGCAAAAGGCAACAGCCCAGATCCAGTCATGGGCAGCATTTGCCCTCCAAAACCTTTAAACTGTCCATTTGCAGGTCTGTGGCTCTTCCACCAACTCAGTTCATTCCAGCTCCAACGCTAGTTTAAAACTATTTAAAACTATTTCAGGGATACTGTGCCAGGGGCTGGAAAGGGGCCAGGATAAGGTAGTGTGAGGAAGGGCTGTGGGCATCAAGGACCCTGTGCTGCCTCCTGCAGAGACAGATTCCTGCTCACGGCCACCTTCTTGGTGGAACAGCTGCAGAAAAGAGAGGCAAGATGCTGCTGGGAAGGAAGTGTGCTGAGCCAATACACTATCAAAAGCACATTGCCATGATACGCAAGGGTACACAAACACATTCCAAGGCTTCCTTTAAAACGCAGATAAGCCAAGAGGCCATTCCACCGTGGGAAGCCGCTAGCTCCCTTCTGGAGTGGCTTTGGCAGCTCCTCCTTTGCCACAGCCTCACAGTGGAGGGTTCCCACAGGGAGCAGTGCCAGGCTCCAGACAATGGAGACATCCCTGCAGGGATGTCACTCTGACCTGGCACCAGCCACCGTTGTCCACTGCAAGCTCCCTTTGGGGGTTTCAAGCCGAGGAGGAAACCAACAGCTTTCCTCCTACAATGCAGATCTTTGTCATCCTGCTTTTCAAGGCTAAAACCCCATGGGGTGATGCTGTAGCCATATCCCCCAGGGTGCAGGGGAACCCAAAGAGGAGCATTTCCCCAGGTGCTGCGGAGGGATGCTGGGTGCATCTGGGGTCACATCAGTTCCCCTGAACTCAAGCCCTGGGAGGTAACTCAGAGCAGGGCTGGGCAGGAAGCAAAGCTCTTCTCTTCTTCCTCATGACGCAGCAGCCTGAAATCAACTTTCAGCCCAGCCCTGCTACAACCCAGTGCTCCTTATTTGCCCTTCAAACAGGAAGAGCAACTCTCAGCATAGCTCTTCTACAAATTCTCTATGCCAAGCCTCACTGAAGGGCTTCTTCCATTAACATGAGGCTCTTTAACCTGAGCACGTCTCTCATGTGACAATTTGCCTTAGGACTCCAGTGGGGTTTCCAGGGGTTCATCAGGCTGCGGTCCGAGATTTCAAAGGTAGGAGCATATCCCCAGCACCCAGGAGGTGCCAGTCACACACATCAAGATGGCAGCAGGATGGAGGGGGATAGATGGGCTCGCTCAGGTAGGAAATAGCTCACACTCCAAATTACAACCACTCCCCATCTGTGCAGGTGAAGACGCGGCAGGATTTGGACAAGCGGAAATATTTCTATTCTCAAGCCAGGCATCCCCAAACCTGGCTGCTCTGCCCAGGGCTGCCCTTCTTCCCTTCCCTTTCTGGTTTTAAGGGGGACAAGCTTATTCCCACAGATTTCCCTGACTGGCCAAAGCCAAATTGCAGCTTGTCACCAGGTGGCATTTTGCAGCCCCTAATGTTTGAAATCTACTTTGCATCAACCCAGAAGGAAATACACCAAAGCAATAATCAGAGATAGGCTCCTTGAGCTTATTACTACCAGCAGAATAGAAAAGCCTGATCCATTACTGAGAAAAGGATGTGGAAAAGGAGCACAGAGTGAAGCAAGTTCAATCAGTGCAGACTGCTCCAACATACGAGAGCCAGGACTCCAACATCAGGGTGGGACTGAGCACTGATAGGGATTTATACATCTTTGGTGATTGCAGATATGTCTAAATATAGCATTTCTTTTTTTTCCATTTAATACCTGCCTGGCTTTGGTGGGTTACAGGAATGCTCTGAGGTATTTCCTTCTGTTTCCTCAGGGTAACCTGTGACTGTTGGCCACCCCCTTGGCTGTGCTTTCTCTCCCCATCACCATGCGGACAGCAGGTAAGGAGGGAGACAGATTTACTCTTCTCTGTCCATTTTTCTATTTCTACAGTTCTTTAAGCCTCTTTCTCATTTACATGACCCCTTCCAAGCCCATCTATACCCTGACTTACCCTTGTCAGGAGCATGGGAAAGGGCCTTTGCATAAGCATCAAATTTTTTAGCTTTGTGGAGATTTCAGGCTGTTGTATTTTTCCCAGTGAAACCCTCTGCAGCTGGGAAGAGATGGCTATTGAGATGTTCCTGGTTCCATAAGAGCCATTCAGCTGCAGTATAAGTGTATTTTTCTACTCTCTTTCCATGCAGGACTGGAACGTTTTGCTCCGATGAGTGCTGCTTTAAAGCCAAATGCCAATCACTTTTGTATTAGCAGCTGCTTGGCTGTAGCTAGTGACTAATTGGGGGATAGCAGCCCTCCCAGCACTGGGAATGTAGGAAATATTTGGATTTATGTAGCTTTCTGACTAATTATCAGATTTACTTTAATGCAGAGAGAAATATGAATAGTGCCTCCCAGTAGAAGGGTAATGTCTATTTGAGCATCGCCACATGCTCTAGAGATATTAATTAAGAGATCAGAGTCCTTTTAGAGGAGGAAGGAAGAAGTGTTAGCTGCATTCCCACACCACACAAGCACTGACTGTCACTCTATGCCTGGTAACCTGGGGATACACAGACTAAGTCCTCAAGAAGCCAGAGGGATGCTCTGGTCCCCAACCCATGCTGCTGCTCTCACCTAGCTCCTTTTGCACCGCTCGCAGGCCTGATCCGGTACACGGCCATGTTCTTCACGCTGCTGGGCACATGGTTCATCCTGCAGATGTATTTTGATCAGAGCTGGAAAGCCATCAGCCTGAGAGGCTGGATTGGTGAGGCACTGGGGGGTCCAGCTGGGTCCGGAGGGAGGATGCAGGAAGATGCACCGGGATGGGTGGCTTGAGTGGTGCTTGCAGCCACAAAGAGCAGTTTTGGAAAGCCAGTGCTTGAACAGCTGCTCCTGGCTTGAGGAAGAGCCAGCAGGTCTCCACCATGTCTAACCCTCCTCCTTGATACCCACAGGTGCCACCGACAAACCCAGCAGTGAGTACCACTCTTGACTGCATCTCCGACACACAACACTGCTCCAGCCCGAGAGTGATGGTGAAAGGGTGATAACTGCCCTCAAGTGCCTTTTTCACAAGGCAAAAATCCCACCCTCCCAAACACAGGGGAATTTCACTATTGCTGCAGTGTCTTTGGCAGGCTCTGTAAGCACAAACCTTCATGTGATCTCCCTGCCCCAGCAGAAACACCCCTAGGCCACAGGCTACAGCAGGAAGCAGGTCATGGGCCCATCTGGGTGGCTTGACACAGGTCCCTAACCTGGCCAAGAATGGGAAAGCTCCAGGCAGAAAACCCCCAAAAGTCTGGCATTGAATAAGCACCAGACCCATTGCATCAGCCCTGCCATCCTGTTGCTCACACCAAGCAGCACCCAGTGCCCCAGACAGCTTGTCCCACACCCCCAAGCCCCAGCACCATAAACCTTAAAGAAGCTGGTCCCAACCCCAGAACAAGCCTCCTTCATGCAAGAAGCTGCTCCAGATGTTGCCCCCCCTTAATGGGCCACTGTGCCACAGCCCTGCTCAGCCCCTTGGGGACATGGCTCATGTTCCCTCATGGAGCCACCACCACGGCTTGCAGCTCCGCTCCTCCCTCACAGGCAAGCAGCTGCCCCGGCACAAGTGTGGGAACCGTAAGGGCTGCCCCCAGAACCATTTTGCCTTCAAGATCATCAGCGGTGCCGCAAACGTGGTGGGACCCTCCCTCTGCTTCAACGACGTGGTGTAAGCAGCACAGCAGGGATGGGGCAGCCGTGGGTGGCCGGGGCTTGAACAGGGTGAGGAGTCTCTGCCGAGCACATCAATGGCCGTCACAGCACATTTGTGGTCAGAAGGAAATTAGGAAGTAATTTTCATTGCTATGGTTTCCGGGGATGTTTTGCTGTCTGCAACCGCTTTGCCCCATCCTGGTTTCACCAGCACCAGCATCTCCAAGGCATCCCTGCACTTACTGCTCTCTGCTTTCCCTTCCAGCCTCATGAGCAGTGTGAAAAACAATGTTGGCAGAGGACTGAATATCGCTCTGGTGAATGGTGAGTTGGGTGGGCACTAACTCCCTTCTCCCCATGCATGGCCAAAGTCCCTTCCTCCCCCAGGAGGGAACCGGCCACCAGGTCACCATCCCAGGCACCAGGGCCAAGGCAAAAGTCCATCAGTGCAGTGTTGCATGGCGTGCACAGCCAGAGTTATGACTGCGAGCACAGCCAGCAAGATGGGAACAAACCCACCTGGCCCATGCACTCAAACTGCATCAGAGACCACATTGGCCATCACAGCAAATCTAACACACTGAGGGAAGAGCAAAGCATTCTGCAGCAGGACCCCCCCCAGCTGGTGGCCAGGCAAAGCCTGGAGCCACCCCAGCGTGATCTTACTGTGCTCTGCTTTGAATTTTAACCTTTCAGGAACAAACGGGCAGCTCCTGAAGGTTGACACGTTTGACATGTACTCTGGAGGTAAGCGCGGTCACTTTGCTGCTTCGTGGTTCCCAGCCAGGGCTCACGCTGGCACTGCTGGCTGGTGGCTATTTAGGCTGCTCCTCTGTGGTGTATTTAATGATAAAGTCTACTGGACTTTGACCAAGATTGCCAGCTTGGGCAGTGAAAGCTCAGCAGTCCCTGAGGCTGGAGTCCTTGTAATGCATCTGCATCCAAAATTGGTTTCTCACTACTCTTACATGCATGTAATAGCCTGAAAACCATAATTCCACTAATCTGAATACACCAGGGCACTTAAAACCTGAGAGAGGCTACTTTCTGAGATCAGGTAGTTACAATGATCCTGAGATTTTGCAACTTTCAACTCAGTTTTCTAATGCTGCTGGTGACTGAGTAGCAGATTGTTCCCTTGCCTTTCATGGGAGGGTAAATAAGGAGCCTGGGGCATGGCAGGAGAGATGTAGCTCCCAGCCCCAGCAAGGCAGATGGAGCAGAGCCTTGTGGCAGCAAAGACCATGTCCTTTCACCTGCCAGCTTTAAACCACCTTTCTAACAGCAAGAAGATGCCCAGAGCAGGGGCAGCCCCTGCTCACAGCCTGGCTGGCACTGGCTTGCAGGATGCTGTAAATCCCAGCAGTGCTGCAAAGCTGTTACTAAACCTCTCCAGAGTTTTGGCAGGATCCGTTCTATGACTCCTCAGAAATCCCACACTAAAACCACCCCATAGTGCTTTTGATTTACCCTCTGCTGTTTGAGCCTTCCCAAGAGATCATCACCCTTTCTGCTGTTTGGTTTTGCAACCTCCCCCTGGTAACTCTGGAGTTTTAAGGAAAAACGCCAATATAATGAGATTTCAGGCTGAATTTGCAAGCGAGATGAGTGGTGGGAGGCACTGGGAAGGCGAAGGCAGTCATCTCCTGTGCCACTAGATGGGGCGTTGGACTCGAGCATCCCATGGATGCAGGACGAGGAATAATTCCTGCAGTACAGGCAAAGGCATGACCGCAGGGCAGGCAGCTCTGAAGTGAGCAGGTTCATTTCTTGAAATGAGAAGCAAATTTAAGTAACAAGATCTCAGTGAGCAAAGTTCAGGAGCAAATTCCCCTCGCAGTTGTACCAGCAGCTCTGCGCACTACAGGAGAGCCCAGGGGGGAATACAAGGAGTGCAGAGCCTGTTCTTCCCCAAGCCCATGACCCCAAATCCTGGCTAGCACCAGCACAGTCAGGATATTTCCCACTGACCCAGAGGAGGTTCCCCCAGCTTTCCCTAATGCTCTTCTCTCCCAGACATTAACAAACTGGACACCTTCCTCCAAGAGATCAAGCACGGCACCATCATGCTGACAGCCAGCTATGATGACCCTGCCACAAAGTGAGTTTGACCGAAGGAGCAACGTGTGGCTCCCCAAAACCCCACAGATGGGGGGAGCTGGAGGTGCTGCTGCCAGCAGCAGAGGGGACCAGAGGGAACATCCACTTGGCACCACGCTAACTCCTTGTTACCCTCTTTCAGGATGAACGACAAAGTACGGGCACATTTCACTGAGCTGGGCAGCAGCCACGTGAGCAAGCTGGGCTTCAGGGACAACTGGGTCTTCTTGGGAGCAAAAGGACTGAAGAACAAGAGCCCCTTTGAAGAGGTGTGTGGGTCTCCCCTGCCACCAGCTCTGGAGGCTCCTATCCTCCTCATAGTACCTCCTGAACTACATCTCTCCTACCTGTCTTCAGAAGACACGGGCCAGTGGTGTTATCCCCGACATCAAACCAAACTCCTAGTTTTGCCCATTGCAAACTCACACTGTGCCACCAACCTCCTCATTCATTTTCTCTCTTTTTTCCCTTCAGTACATCAAAAACAATAAGACAACAAATAAATACAACGGCTGGCCTGAGCTGCTGGAGATGGAGGGCTGTGTGCCCAGGAAGACGGATTAGCATCAACACCCAGCCTGCCGTGGAGGGCAGATTCCACCAGTCTCACAGGGACACCAGCCCCATTGTGGGGTCCCCAACCCCACCACACCGATCCCAGTTGTCCAACTGCTTGGTCACACAGCCCAGCAGCAGCTCCCAGAAACTGGCTGTGTAGGGCTCAAAAGAGCTGTACAAGTGCCTGAGGCTTCAGCTGAGCTGTCCTCATCTATGGGTCAATTCAGGGTATTTTATTTTTCTCTTATTAAACCAAAAACTTTGGAAGTTTTTCATATTTCTTCAGTAAGATTATAAAGCAATGCCTTCTCATTTCCATTTTCAAGCATAATCCATGCTTTTCCCTGCATGGCACAGCATGGAACATTCTCTGCCACTAGCTGGGCATTGCCGTCACCCATCCCACAGCACTGCACATGGATGCTCCCACCTCCTCAAACCCACACAGCACAGGGCAAAGTCATCCCTGGGGTTGCTCAGACCTCAGTGGGTTCCCCCGGAGCTCCTGCCAACCCCCCTGTTGCTTCCTAAAGCCACAATAAGGACAGAAAGCCACAGGGATATCTTGCAGCAAGATTTGCAGACCAAAGCATTTCCTCCACCTGGTTGCATTTTTCCTGGCTAAATCCAAACGAAATCCTCCATAGCACATCCTCAAAGGTCAGGATAACGCCAGGGATGTGCCATCCTAGCTTTACCCTCAAAGAGGGAGGGATGAATGGGAGTTTCTCAGGCAGCTGAAGTTGTGCAGAATAACCAATAGGTGGAAGCCTTTTACCAAGAGAGCCGGAGTCAGCATCAGTCTGGAGAGACTCAGCACATCCTGGCTGACACCCCACTGCAGGTACCCTCATACCCACTTTGCTCTGGGAGCTGCACCCCAGTCCAGGGCTTGGTGACACTGTTGGGAAAGGAGAGATCCCTGCCCAGAGGCCAGAAAAGCCCTTCAGAACTCCTTCCATGGTGGTTCCCATGCTGCTGTCCAGTGCTGAGGAGGTCCTAGGGGAGCATCTGCCCCTCACTCATGCGTGGATGCATTCATCCAAGCACTGTCTGTACCCAAAACCTCCGTGAGCTCCAGCACTGCAGAGATCAGATAAACTGTGTGAGTTATGTCTGAGGTTTATCTGTCATCATGGACAGGGACAAATTCGCATCATCCACAGACTTTAATTTCCTATGATTATATCTGTTCTTCTCCATTCTTTAAAGCAGAGGGTGGAGCCTTTCTGCTGGAGCACTGGGAGCTGTGCAGGGTAACAGGTTGTTCTGCACAGCTTTTGAGCATCTAGCAGCAGGGTGTGCCCCAGCACAGCCTCCAACAGGCAGTTCACATCACTCATCAAAGCCTCAGGTCTCTCCAGGGGAGCAGAACAAGCGAGGAACACCGGCAGGATAAGGCCAGGAAGAGACACATCCTTAGGGATGAAACCCTGTATCCAAAACCCAGTACCACCATCCAAAAAGTGTGAGGCAACCAGTTTTCCCTAAACAAGGAAAAGTAGCTAAATAAAACTGTAACACCTACAAGAACTTCCAATGCCAAAACTGAAATGAAAAGCCCAAAACAACCACCATAGAGGAAACCCCCTGTAGTGGTAGTATTTTATCCCAGCTTATCCTCCTGCGCTCTTCAGCATTCACCTCATCACACCTAGGGAAGCCTCTGCCATAAATCGATCCCTAAATCTGCTGCAACAGCAGCGCTTAATCCCAAACGCTGAATCATCCCTACCCGTGGCAGCAGCGAGAAATAACACAAGGCAGCAGACACAACAGCCCTCACATCCCACAGCCCTGCCAGCAGAAACATGCCAACTATTTTAAACCCCCTCAAAGGATCTAGATTCGCTCCTAAGCCAAACTGAAAACAGCCCGAGAGCTGCATGGTGTAAATCAGGGAACAGCATCAGTTCCAGCCCCTTTCAGCCATGGGAAACTCCTTGCAGCCCTTTGCAATGTACATTAGAAATCTGGTTTAAAGCCAAAAAAAGGGAATTTATGTTTCAGCATGCTACAGACTGTTCAAACTAGCTCCGAACCCACCACAGGGCTGTTACAAAGGTACATCACTGGTTTCATTAAATAGGGAAAGCTAAAAGTCCGACCCCTGCACAGGGACCTCAATCAGCCGCCAGTGTTTTGAGGAGCCATTCCTGCCAAAGCCACTGTGTCCTGATAAATAAATCAGAGCTTTTCAAAAGTCCAGAATCTGGGAGACTTCAGGAGTCAAATTTAACTTGCTCGTGTTTTAAAAGGGTCTGAAAAGGGTGGCAAGTGCAGGGACAGCAATCCCCAATGAGGTACTTTTGTGCCTTGGCATTTTGGAAGCTGTATTACTGCAGAGACAGGCACCTACCTGGCTGGTTTCCACCATGCAGCATCCCCCAGAGACTTCAGCAAGAACAAGCCCTGACCTGACCCAGCTCTGGGTAACCTGGGCTCAGCTGGGGACCGCAGTGGGCTCCAGCACTGCAGCAGCAAACAGGCAGCACAGGGTGTTTGTAGGAGCAAAGTTTGCTGAATCCAGTGCTGCAACAGGAGCCAAGAGCCGGGATGGAGAAGGGCAGCAGAGGGATAACCCTCCGTTAATTTGGAGGTACAGATTTATTGTGGCAACGCACCACAGGAGCAGCGAGGAAGGATGCCACAGGCACAGACTGACGGGTGCCGGGGCCCCGCAGCCGGGCGAATCCGCGTCCTGTGACATCTTGCCCTGTCAAGTGCAATTACTGTAATCTTCCACAGCCTCTCAAAATACAGATCCCGGCTTAGAAACCGGGCATCCACAGCATGAAAGCTGCCTTTGTGCCCGGGCAGAGCCTGGGCGTGAGCCAGCCGTTAGGTGCATGAAGAAAATGAGTTCTCCACGTGCTGGGAGAAGGGAGGAAAAGCAAGCTTTCCCGCCCGACCCCACTGCAGACGGGCTGGAGTCCACCCGCGTCGCCCCACAGCAGCCACCGAGGAGCGGGGAGCTGCACGGCCACGCATTCCCACAGGAATAACAGGGGCCGGTGACCGCAGAGAGCTGGGTGTCCTGCACCCCGGGTGAGCAGAGCACAGCTGACACGTCGGACCATGGGGGCAGCTCACGGGAAGAAGGTAATGGAGCAGTTTTAATCAGGGCTGTTGGAGCGGTGGTGGGATGATGGAGACGGCACCATCTGCTCACGTGGTGCTTGTTTTGCCCCTAAGGCAGCTGATGGCAGCGAGGGATTAGAGGGAAAAGACCCACTCCTGGGTGTGGGTGTCACTTGTCAGGGCTGGATTAAGTAATTGCACCTGATGGGCTGAGCATCAGGGCTTTCAGGACAACAAGGAGGAGATCAGGGCACTGCATTGGGAAAAGCGAAGTTTGGCTTTCTGGGAAGAATCAGCAGGCTTGCTCCAAGCACTTCCAGCAGCCTGAGGGCTGTCTCCCAGAGATGCAGTGTGGAGTGAGCCCCAAGTAGTTCTTGGCCTGTGATTGCCACCAGCTCCCTCCTGGGACATCATAAGCACCCTCTCCTCTAAATCCCCCAGGGAGAGTGGTCAAACAGCTCCGAAAGGAAACAGGGCTTTATGGAGCCAGAGCCATGCGGATGCAGCAAGAGATGGTTGTGCTGAGGATGCTGATGTCATTTTACTTTCACATCTGATGACATCAGTACCTAGAGATGCATCATCACTACCCAGCTGTGGTGCCCTGATCTGGTATTAGACTTCTGTAGCTTGTCTCACAGTTTGAAGAGAAATGCACTCATGCACCACACTAGATCAGTAACATCTACTGCAATAAGGACAGCAGTGACTCTTTGCTTCTGGAGGGACCCTGCATGCTCAGCTGAGCATGGTCTGTGGCCTTCAGAGCCATGGGCACATCCAAGCCTTTTGGAAGCTTGCAAACCTGTTGGGCTTTCTCCCAAATCCAGAACTAGACATTATTGCAGGGGAAACAAGCACAAAAGCAACCCACTGGCCAGTGTTACCAATTCCCAGAAGGAAAATCAGGGTTCATGTGGGACTGGTAAACATCCATCTATTTTCGTGGACCCCAGAGAAGTACCAGGTACAGGAGGTGCTGCTCCCAACCAGCCCCCTGCTCCCCTGACACCCACCCGAGGTGCCGATGCCATGCTGCACCCAGCGCACAGGGAACCACAGTCATTCCCAGTGCTCAGGGCTGCAGCAGCAAACCAAGGAGGAGCCATGCTCTGCTCACAGCTAATCTCAGACCTTTGCTCACGTGGCCGTGACCTTCAGGCCTCGGCACATTTATACAGGCATTACTGAAAGCAGGGAAATAAGCTGGTTAGGTCAGGGCTGGCTCAATTCCACCCAGTTCAGCCCTGCTGCATACAAAGCCATCTGTGCCAGCATCCCGACCCCCAGACCAGATAGTCTGTGGACAGCTTTCCCCATTGCTCCCTCTTCCTGAAACACGAGGATCCCACCACAACCCAGCACTGAAAGGCCTGGCTTTGAAATGCTCCCGGGAGCTCGGGCTCTCCCATTGCACCAGCTTGCTGGCAGCCCTGAAAAGCTCCAAAACAGTTTTATTTTCATGGCCATCAAAAGGTCAGAGATTTCACTCCAATTTCAGCCTCCCAAATGTTATCTGGGTTGACAAAAGCCTGTGCTACCACCCAGCTGGCACAGAACAAGGATGTCTGACTGGCAGCTCCTAGGTCAGTGCTTTATTCTTAGGCTGAATCTGATGGGGATGGAAATAAGACAGCTCCTTCTGCTGCGTTTCCAGGGTGGGCATGGACAGCAGGCTCCAGCCCTTCCCAAGGACCAGGTCAGGTCCAGGTGACAGGCAGGAAAGGTCTCCTTCCCCAGTCCTTATAAAGCCAGCATGGCTCTACAAGGGCACAGGGATCTGCCAAGCATGACCCCATGCACCAGCTACAACCCAGAGAGGACCCGCACAGGAGCACAGAGCAGGACGAAGGCTCAGCACCCCTTGCCAGCACTGCCTGCATTAGCAGTCTCAGCTGCACCCCTTTTAGGTTTATTCCAGAGCA